TCTCTATTTATCTCTCTCTCTTTCTCTTTCTTTCTTTCTTTCTTTCTTTTCGTTTTATCCGTCGTAATTTTTTTTGATTCTCTTCTCAACGGGGATGCAAGCCTAAAAATTGGACTCCGTTCAAAAAGAATCGTTAAGTAATCTTGTTTTTGGCGCTCGTTTTTTCTTTTTTTTTTTTTTTTTCTTTTTTTTATTTAAAACCTTTCGAAAAGTGAAGAAACAAACATTTAAAAAAAAGCATAGGCGCGTTTACAAAACGACAAGAAAGAGAAAAACCTTAAAATTATCACAGTCATAATAATAATAATAATTATCATTACGGGTCCGTTTTTCCTCATTTCGATGATTATTTCATATCGCGCGACTTTTTCTAATTCGACTAATGGTTTTTCCATTTAATGGATGTTAAATTGTATCACACATTCAATCAGTCAATCAATCAGTCAGTCAATCAGCCATTCAGGTATCAACCATTTTCCACGTAAACATTTACGCAGTTTAAAAAAAAAAAAATGAAAAAATTCACTTATTAGATTCATCGCCATTTTGAAATTTCTTTTATTTTCAATCGATTATTATTATTATAATATTTTATATTCGTAAAAATTCAATCGTTAATAATAATAATAATAATAATGATAATGATAATAATAATAATTGAAAAAAATAAATAATCGATAAAATAAAATTAAAATAAAAAAAATCAATAATCAATAACGAACGTAACGTGCGAAGCGATCGAATAATGAGATGACGAAGCAACAACACTCTAGGATTCATTATTATTATTATTATTATTCTTTTATAACATTGTAAGAAAATCGATTCGATACTACAACTTCTACTACTACTAATAATAATAATAATAATAATGATAACGAATGAATAAATAAATTATATACGTATATATTCAAAGTTCGTTATAATTTACGATCGATCAATAATCGGATTATTGATTTATTATCACTCTCTCGCGAATGAGATCCATTCATCGATTCGCGTTATGACGTAATAAAACGTTAACTGATGGGGGAAAATCCGCGAAATAATTTCTTTAAAAAACTTCACGAATCTATAAATAATAATAATAATATCACGCGTACGAACTAACCTCGCGCGTAAGGATACGTCACAAAAGAAAAACGCGTAACAGAGAGAGAAAGAGAGAGAGAGAGAGAGAGAGATTTAATGGCGGTGGTTCGAACTCTGGAAGATTTCATCACTTTTTTTGGTATTATATTAATAATAATAATAATAATAATAATATTCATTTGAGTTTAAGGCGTAGTAGATGCGGCGGCAAATCCGACACACACTGACATCGGAAATATTGCCTGAAAATTCAATTTAAACCACATGTGTCATGTTGTGTACGGTTGGACCCGATGTTGAATTTATATTCATGTCGTCGTCGTCGTCTTTCAATCCCTCTCATCATTTCTCTCTTTCTCTCTCTCTCTCTCTCTTACATTTTTTGTAATTATATTACCTAAAGATATGAACGTTCGAATATTACATAAAAATGATTTTTTTTTAATGAGAGGGAAAAAGAGAGAGGGGAGGAGAAATTTGCAGTTTGTTTTCCTCCCGTCAATCCGCCATTTTAACACCTGTAAGTACCCGTCGTTCACGAATGATAAAAAAAAAAAAAAAAAAAAAAAAAAAAAAAACGTTTCGAATAAATTTAGTGATAATTAAATATCGTAATCGAAATATAATAATAATAATAAACGGTGGTGGAAAAAAAAAAATCATTTGAAAATGGGTCGTTAATAACTGTGGGTAGTAATAATGCGCAAAGTGTCGAATAACGATTGGGGGGAAGGTTGGAAAGGGGGTCAAGCCACATGGGATTCTTTCAAGTTGAATCTATAAAAAGGCAAAAAAAAAAAAAAAAAGAAAAAGGGTCCATTTTGGGTTTTCGGTAAAGGCTCGGGGAGGGACATCATACGGGAAACACTCGAAGAATAGGAAACGACGATGTGGTGTCGGTTGAAGTACTCTCGAGGTCATCGAGAGCTCTCACCGTTTTTTTTTTTTTTTTGTACTTCTTCCTTCTGGGGTGACAAACGACCGCGTTTTTGTCACTTTTGTTATTTTACTATCAAAAAAAAAAAAAAATTTTTTTTTGCCTGTTGCACCAGAAAAGAAAAATGTAAACAAACAAAACATTTTCTTACTCTCTCTTTCTCTCTCACACGAATTTCTTTTTCTTTTTTATAAAAAAAATTTTTTTCTTACACCCCTAAAATTTTATCACGCTTAAATGTTTTATTATTATTATTATTTTGTCATTGAGTGTTTTTAATAAACTTAAAGTAGTCGTTTAAAAATGCGGGTAGTTATGCGCAACACTCAATTTATAAAAGTGACAAAATATTTCAAGAGAACAAAAATTTTAATTTTTTAATTTCTTTTTAATATATATAAAAACAAAAAAAAAATGGTGACGGTTGTTTCGTCAGGACACAACAAACGATAACCGTGATGATGATGATAAATGACGTCACGCCAGAAAAAAAAAAAAAGGAAATCCGGATAAGGTGTTGATTATTAAGAAAAAATCGATAAATCGTTTAGGCAAATTTTTTTACCGGCGATAACGTTTGCCTCTACCCCCTCCACTCCTTTCGACGCCCCTCACGGTCCCCTACGCTCCCCACCCTAACGCCCTCCCCCTCAACTCCCTGACCAAATATTTCACCGTGACGTGTTTTTTTTTTTTTTTTTTAATTTTTAATGAAATTTTCCAGGTTTTTTCTTCCTGTTGCGTACAAAAAAAACTTGTTTCCGCTTTTCCTTTTTCTTCCCCCCGTCCCCCATCAAAATATACGAGTAATAAATAAAATTTAAAAAAAAAATCTTCTGCTGTTGCGAAAAAAGGAAAAAAAAAAGTTTTTAATCAATTTAAACAAGTCTCGTAAAATACTTGGTGTATATACGAAAAAGTTCTTCTCGCTTTTAAAAAAAGTTTTTTCTTAAACCTCTTCCTTTCCCCTTCCCTCCCTCCCTAACCCTTCTCCGACCCCCCTCACCCCGCCTCCCCACCTACCTTCTCTCCGGGAGTGAGAGAGAGAGAGAAAAACGTATTCGATTTAAACTTAAAACAAAAATTGATTTGAGATTTTTATCTTTCGGTTTAATTATTCCTTTTGAAAAAAGCTTTTAAATGTCTTTGGAAGAAGACGTGGAAGAAGAAGAAGAACAAAAATGTGGCCTGTATGGAGATTCAATTTAGTAAACGCCTCTTTCATTAAAGAAGAATAAAAAAAAAAAAAAAAAAAATTTAAAATTTATATATTGAAAAGGTCTCGGAGTTAAAAAAAATTTTTTTTTAATGGAACTGCATCGAAATCGGTCCACATCTGCTGGAAAGAATTTTTTTTTTTGTTATCAATGAATAAAATTGAATTTTTTTTATATAAAATTCTTCCTTGGGTTTCTTACTCCTTCTTCTTCTTCGCGACTGTTGAATTTGCAACGACAGGAGGAGGAAAACCACTGCGGTAGAGTTTTATTATTATTATTATTCGGCGTAAAAGTTAATATAAAATAATATTTTTTTAAAAAAAAAAAAAAAAAAGACCTCATCCAGAGATGAGATGATTCTTCCTCTTCTTTCTTTTGGGTTTACGGGTAATTAAAATTTGAGAATAGAAAGAGGGCGGCGCGGTTAAGCTTATATTCAAACAACGACGCGACCATCATCTTCGTCTTCTACACACACACCCTAGTGGTTTTAAATCGCAATAGTGAGGGTGGAAACCCCAGAACAAAAGAACATCAACAACAACAACAACCAGAAACGTCTAAAAAAATCGCTAATAATAGAAACAAAATCATCATCATCATCGCCATCGTCGTCGGTGGCATTGCACGGTTGAAGGAAAAACTTTGGCATTAAAAAAAAACGACAAATAACAACCAACAAACAAGAGTCGATTTTTTTTTTTTACTTCTCCAGCACTGATAACGTTGAAAGGAGAGATAAAAAAAAAAAAAAAAAAAAAAAAATTAAAAAAAATTTCCTTGATAATTTGTCGAAGATTTTTTCATATGGAAAATTTTTTTTTTTTTGAATGAATAAAAAAAGTTTCCAGATCTTTCCATCTTGACAATTTTTTTCTTTCCCCACGTTATAAATTTTTTTTTCTTTTTTATTTCTTACCAACCCATAAAAAAAAATAAAACAGGTTGATAATAAATCATATTTCGATGATTTGAATTTAATTTTTTTTTTTTATATTGGTAGGCCTGAATAGTAATAATAATAATATCATCATAGAAAAATCCGACAGTGAAATGTTAGTAAAATCACGCATAATGTACGAAGAATAAAAAAAATAATAACGTCGTGGCAGCAGACTATATTCGATTACAAAAATTTTTTTTTTGTTTTGTTTATTCTCCGACTCTTCATCGCTTCCGCGAATTACGAATTCGAACCAACTTTGACATCATCATTTGACGAACCTACGGACGGGAGGAGTATTTATCATCCCTTTTTAAAAAAATCCTTTTTCCAGGAATGAATTTCCGAAAAAATAATAATAATAATAGTAATAATAAACGTCGGCTTTCTTTTTCGTGGTATCCTTAAGGGTTTCTTTTTTTTTTTTTTTCTCCATTTAAATAAATATACAATTGCGTTCGACGTTTGAATTCCATCAAATTTTTTTAAACAAAATCATTTCCCTCTCTCTCTCTTTCTCTCTCTCTATTTATTTTTTTGGTAAAAGGTTCACGTTCAAAGGTTTCAGAATGAACAATGTTTTGATAAGCGGTTTTCCTTTTTTTTTGTGATCTTCTTCTTCCACGCCTCCCCTCCCCCTTTCTCCCTTCTCTCTCTCTTTTAACTTTTCACCGCGACAAAATAAAAAAACACAAAACCCGACCAAGAGATTATCATTATTATTATTATTATTTATTTATTAATAATTATTATTCGAAATTTATTTACGAAAAGGTTAAAGGTCGCATTAATGACAAATATTTATCAGTTAATATTTTAAAAACACATAATAATAATAATTTACGATTACGACCCGTAATTGAAAACAAATCAAAAAATAATAATAATAATAATAATAATGAACTCCGATAAACGAACAAAATGAAGACAAAGTGAAAAAATTTAAAAAAACAAAATGATAATGATGATAATAATAATAATAACAATTACCTGGATCTGTATCCACGCTTTGCTGTGAACCCGGAGGCTGGGATAAAGGACCTGGAGTACCTCCAGAACCCGGTGATCTTACATCATCATTGCCTGGACCGTAAGATAAAGACGATGATGGCGGTCTCTGTTTGTAAAAAGAAAAAAACATTATTATTATTATTAATTAACCCAAAAAAAAAAAAATTTACGTCGCGATCGATAAATCGTTCGATCAATCGATCTATCGATCAAAGTTTTTACGTTTAAATTTTTATTAAAACTTTTTGGTACTACAATCGGGCTTTTCCTTTTTTTTCAACTATTTAAAATTTTAGTTCAGAAAAAAAAATTTTTTTATGTTTTCCATACAAACCAACAAACAAACAAACAAACGAATTTTCATAATAATAATAATAATAATAATAATAATAATAATAATAATAATAATAATAATAATAATAATAATAATAATAAAATGACACGTAAAAGAAAATAAGAGTTGCATTAGGGTTGATTCCCGGGATGCTTTCACAACAACCCGACTTCAATATAAATGATTTTTTTTTTATAAAAAACCTTAAAAGCGAATAACGAAAAAAAAAAAAAAAAACAAGATGATAAAGAAAGAGAGAGAATACGAGATGGAAAGAGAGAGAGTGAGAGAGAGAAAAAAACAAAACGAATATAAGAAGCCGACTACATATTTATGTACTTCTAAATATTCCCAAAAGGATTTCAAAATAAAGAAATGAGCACGACATCTCACTTTCGAAACGCGACTTCTCCAGGGAACCGTTATATATTAGGACTATGCCATTCCAGTCAAAACAACACTCCACCACCCCCACCATCCGAACGTGTTGGGAAAAAAAAAAAAATTTTCCGTTCCCTTCACGGTACCACGTTCTAATATTCATTTTTTTCTCTCTCTCTCTGACATATGCCAGAATCCTGCAATATTAATATTTCATATGCATTTAAGTGCTTTCGATTATTTATTTATATTCTAACTCTCTCTCTCGCGCGCTTTCTTTTTTATTCTAGAACAAACACAATACAAAAAAAAAATTTTTTTTTTTCTTTGTACCTACTCTCCTACTCATACGACTAAACTATTTATTCCCGATAAATTCCCGTTAATAATAATAATAATAATAATAATAATAATTAAATAAAACGTCAAAACGCATACGCCATATTGTTTTCCTTTTTTTTCGTTATTCCAATTATTCCAAATTATTTTAATTCAGTTTTTTTTTTTAGTAACAAATTTAACCACATTTAATTTAAATCAACCACATTTTTAAAATTTCCTTATATCCAAAAAGGAAAAAAGGAAGAAGGAAAAAGGAAAAAAAAATTTTAAACAAATTATTTTGTGAGCAATTATCATTGAGGGAGTTGAAAAGAGTCAGTTCGTGTGCATGCACGAAACTTCACCATTTTTTTGTCATAATTATTATTTTTTTTTTTCCTCTTTCCTACAACTACAACAACAAACAACAATCCGAAAATAATTGTTTGAAACCGGAAGTTTTTAAGGAGGTAGATATTTAATTTTAAAATTCATAATAAGAACACGAATGTGAGACACGTTTCCGCCTTTTTTCTTTCCTTCTTTCTTTCTTTCTTTCTTTTCTTTTCTATTTTTTTTTTTTTTTTACAAAAGATCAACCACCTAGAAAATAATGTCATTTTAAACGTGACCCCTTAACCTTTTGTAATTAATTAAAATAATTCCGTTAATGATGATGATGATGATGATGATGATGATGATGATAATGATTGAAGAATAACTCGTAATAGCGGCGAAGGGGTTCATCGATAAAGTGTCTTCGACGATACCTTTCAACAACCACTTCCTCTTCCGCATATCCATCACCCCAACAATAATAACAATAAAGCGAACGCGACAAAATATTAAATAATAATAATAATAATAATTAATTAAATGACGTTTAATTTACACACGTGACGTAATTTTTTTATTAAAAAATATCGATTGATCCAACCGATTAGATATCGATCTATCGATCCATCGATCGATTGACGGCATTTATTAAAAATCCTTTTAAAAATAAAAAAATTAATAATTTAAAATACATAAATAAAAAATAAAAAAAATTTGGATTACGTCATCATCGTCATCGTCGTCACGCAGTCTAAGGAGAAAAAGAAAAAAGTTTCTATAAATAAATAAATAAATCAAAATTTTTTTAATAATTAACGTATAAATTTTTTTTCCTCTTTTAATAACCACGCTTCTTCTTCTTGTTTATTGATTAATAACCCGAAATTAATAATGATAATAATAATAATATTCGATCGATTTCAAATCGATTAATTAATACATTTAAGAAAAAAAACACACACACGCACACGCATGTATACGCGCCTAAAAATTATCGTTATCATTATTATTATTTTTTAGTTCGATTTATTAATTAATTTCGATTTTTTTTTCTTTTCGTTTGTGCGTGCGTGTGTGCGTGTGCGTGCGCGTGTTTTATCCGCCTCGCTAAACTTATTGATTTGTCCCGATTATACGAAACGAGGGTTCGTCAAAAATTAACGACAAAATTTTTTCAATTTCCACGTCGACGTGCGATTCGCCATTTTTACGGACGGACGTAAAAAAAAAAAAAAAAAAAAAGGCGCGAAAATAAATTTTTTGAATTTTTATTTATTTATTACAGTTCGATTCTTATAGAAAACGAGTTTCACACAAAGAAAAAAAAGAATATGGAGGAGAAGGAGGAGGAGAAGGAGAGGGTGAACGCAACAAACAAACAAACAAAAACCAATAACAATAATAACAACAACAACAACAATAATAATAATGATAATGGTAATATATAAATAAAAAAAATAAAAAACTCGCCTCCGGGTTTTTAAACGCATTTTCACGTGAAATAAATACATAAATAAATTTAATAAAATAAAAAATAAAATAAAATAAATAATACATGACAACGCACAAGTTCTTTTGGCGGTTTTTCAATAATACATAAAAAAAAAAGACAAAATTTAGTTTTCGAAAAAAAAAAAAAAAAAAAACAAGTTTTTGATGGGGCGAACATGGACGTCAAATTCGATTATTTTTAAAATTCGATTGAGTTAGTTTTTATTTATTTATTTATTTTAAATAAATTATATATATATTTATATTTATCGTCGTCCTCGTCCTCGTCGTCGCCGTCGCCGTCGCCGCCGCCATTATTATTATCATTATTATTATTATTTTACCGACTTTAACACCGGTTTAAAAAAAAAAAATAAAATAAAAGAGGAAAACCCCCTTGTTTTCATTTTTTAATTTTTTTCCCAAATGAAAAAAAACAAAAAATTATTAATTATATATATATTATCATTATCATTATCATTAACATCATCATCATTGTTAAAGTTTACGCAAATTTCTTTTCCATTATTATTCCATTTGAATATTACATTAAAGCAGCATTTGAGGTTGATATGAATGAACGTCATAAAGTTAAAGTTCGGGAGATAATGATAATGGGTCCCAACTCGTATCACCCTCGGGTGGCGAGGAAGATGGAAAGAAAATACAGAGAAAGAGAAAGAGAAAGAGAGAGAGATATGATTGTGAATGAGGGATGACTTTTGAATCTTTCCATCTCTCTTTCTTTCTCTTCGTACTTTTTTTTAAATAAATTTTTACATCTCCTTTTCACGATTCCATCTACTCCGCTTATTATCTATTTATCTATTCATATAACTTGTTACACGTTTCTTCTTACACGTTTCGAACGCTTATTACCAAGTGCGTGCGAACGCGAAACGCGCACGCAACCGTTTTATATATAAAAAAAAAAAACATTTTTGCATTTTATACTCCCGGCAACATTTCATCATCAAAAAACTGTCGTGCAAACGACAGACAAGACACATTACTCTTATTTATTATCATAAATTCTTACGTGCACGCACACACGCACACACACGCACGCCGACAGCTTTCCAAAAAAAAAAAAAAAAAAAATCAATTCCTACAACCATTTACTCTTACGCAAACTTTTCGCCAAACAAAAAACAAAAAAAAATTCCAAGAAACACCAAAAAAAAAAAAGGTTTGCCAACAACCCCCAACATAACAACACCAACAACAACAATTTTTCATTTCCAAGAAAAAAAGCAGAAGACGAAAAAAAAAAAAAAAAAAAAAAAGGAATATTCGAAACCAATTGAAATTCTTCTCTCTATATTGCTTCAACCTCTTTGAACGCGTCATATAACTTACGAGACCCACCTATAATAAAAAAAAAATTTTTTTTTTCTTTTTCTTTTTCTTTCTTTATTTTCTGGTTGTTGTTGTTGTCGTTGTCGTCGTCGTCGTTGTTTAAAAGGCAAAAAAAAATTATATAAAAATTCTTACAAAAGAATCGTCGGTACAAAAAAAAAAAAAAAAAAAAAAAAAACGAGGACGACCTTCTTCTTCTTCTTCTACTTCTCCTCTTCTCTTTTACCATTAAACTCTTTAATACAAAAAAATTCATTTATTTACGACCTGTCATAACGATTCAAACAATTATTTTATACAATATTCTCCTATATATAATAATAAAATAAAGTAAAAATTTCTTTATTTTTTTTACCTTCACCGTTTTTTATTTCGTTAAAAACAACAAACGACAAACGACAACAAACGTTTTCAAAAAAAAAAAATTTCAATGAAACAAAAATAACCGACGGAATCTCTCGATCGAGTCACTCGCGATTCAAACGAATATTTATAAATAAATAAATATCGAATTAATCGATATATCGAATCGATTCCATATAAAAACCATAATTGCATTCATTTGCATTTTTTTTCTTATTAATTTTCATACCGGAAATGATTTTTTTAAATATGGCCGACGGCGATGAATTCGAGTGGGATAATTTGATTATTAAAAAATAATAATAATAATAATAAATTTTGAAATTTAATTAATAATTAATAATTGGCAAAATTAAAAAAGAATTTCTTCGGGGAGACGAAGAGAGATAGAGGGAGGGAGGAGAAAGAGAGAGATAAAAGGTTACCAAAAAAAAAAAATTTAGGGTAACGAAAGATAAAAAAAAAAATTTGACAGACGTTTTATTTTTTTTTTCTAAATGATTAACAACAAGTTTTTAAATTTTAATTCCAGGTATTAAAAAAAA